GCCTATATAGGTCCAACTGCTGGGGACATACCTTCTCCAAATCTAAGGGGACTTTAAAACAACTTGGGAACAATGTAATTTAATTTCCCAGACATGCAGGTTTCCTCACGAGGTTTTCTTTTACCGCCAACCATGTGGTAAATTAGCACTTAAAATTGCAATTGAGAATTTGATTGGTCGCGAACACACTTACGGAAACTTAATTTTACAAGTATTATGTTTTGTTAATTTGCCACAACCTGCTTATATGAATATTGAGTATGTTGGTCCTGGGATTGAATTTCAAATCGTCTGAGAAAATGGGAATGCAACAGAAATGGATTACTCATTTTTTGTATCTTTAGTATTGTCGTAAGAGACTCATTTCATCTTCCGTGGTGGAGCCATGTTGCGGCTATGTAATAGTTATAGGACGAATGGGTTGATAAGACCGGGGAGAAATCACACTCTCAAAGAATATAAGGGTAAAATAGCAGCTTAATATTATGCTGCTGTGTTTCGTACGGTGAGTGCAGAGAACCAAAGATCTTTACCGGACACGAGGTTGATACTTAATCGAGGATAGATGTAGATGTCTATGTGCCACAGCATCCGCTTACCATTAGGTAGACGAAAAATCCTACATTGATGAAAGCATTAAGGTAGTTCTGGACTTCTGCCTAAAGATCAAGTAGTAGTAGCTGAACAATCTGTCAAATGAGCTAACGGCCACTGTCTACGCCCATAGACGACTGGGTGAAGAATTGACGAGGTTGGAGGCCGTATTATACATCGCTCTATCAACTGAACCGACAGCTCACAAAACAAAGGGCACAACAACAGGCAAACGTTGTTACGAGGCCAAGTAACGAGCAGAAATCCTAGCAAAGCACTTAGAGAGGCTGTATACCAAACGCCGCTACTGACGCTAAGGACAAACTTAGAGTAAATATTTTAAATTATAAAACGATCATAGAATATAGTAAGCAGTTAGAAGTAAATACAAGATTACATCAAAATGGAATTAGTTTGCAAACCAACAACGAGACTGCTTGTCTCGACATAACACAGAGTCAGTCCCTCCGCAACATTATGTTTTTTCTTCTTAGCTTGTATTTAAGGAATCAATACGAGTACACCGGACAGAATCACTTGAACTTGATTGATCCAAGCCTTACCCCCATTTCGTTGTTATTTTCTACCCTCATTACCTAATAAAAATACAGAAATTTATTTTATAAAAAGTGCACATATTTTATTAATAATTTTACTTGTACAAATAAAAAGTACTTTCAATAAAATATTTAAATATGAAAGAAGGCTTTTCTATGAAAGAGTTGATCCTTATTATCAACGCTATTATCTGATTCAACATTAATATATTATGCTAGATACTAAGGAAAAAATTAACGGATTGTAGTTCGAGTTTCGGCTATTGGCGTAATTTGTGTTCTAAGAATCTTAAGCATGATTTTTTTTGTGTAAAATACTTGCATATGCTTTTTGTGTTCCGCAAAATCGATGGCGTGTCTGAAAATTGGTTATATATGATCATTGTTTTAATAAATTACATTAAAATTATAGATTGAAGAGTATCTGTTATTTTATTTTCTGAATATTCATTCCTCAGAATTATATCGAAAAATTTATTGCACAAGATAGAAATCTTCAGGAAAAATAACGAGTACACGCCCAACATAACGTGGCTTTAATTATTTGACCAGACGCTTCCTTATCACGCGATAAAGTATAACTCAAAAAAATATTTGCAACTAAACACGCATTATTCCAATAAAACCAAGGGGAATTACTGTCGTGGTCACCTCTTTTTTTGTCTCTAGAAAATCGAAAAATCATCCGATTTCGATGATTTTTTTAAATCTTCGTTATTATGGCGAATAAAAAAAATACAAGAATAAAAGAAATGTGAACTTATATTGGTTTCAAGGCTTTAAATGTTTATGAAAATGCACTCATTTACGTATAATTGTTGATAACTTTTTTTTAAATAATCAAATGAAGTTGTTATTTTTATTCATAATCTACACAAATAAAACGAACATTTAAAAAAATTAAAAAAATGTTTCTTAATTAGTTTTTAATTTGGTTTTTATTGAGTGTAAGATCGAGCGATGCGAGCTTGGGACTTAGGGCGTCCCGATTCGGACAGGTTAGGTTAGAAGGAGATGATGGGGACAAGTGAGCGAGCGAAGCGAGCCACCCCGCCATCTGTCCCAATTTGGATGCTCTAAAGTCCCGAGCTCATAATTATTTCGATTTAAAGTTAGAAAACCATACAAAAACTTTAAGTGGGATAAAAAAATAATAGACAAACATTTTTTAATGTTTATATTTTTTTTTAATGTTTGTTTTATGATCACGTAAGTGCGTTTATGATCACATTTAAAGTTATAAAACTATATGAGATCTGCAGGTGAGATATTTTCTACATTTTTTACCATACTATTTCCATCGATTTTCTAGAGCCAATAAACGAGGTGACCGCGATAATATAAAATTACCAAAAGATGATATTTAATAATATATTTTGTGCTGTGGCTACAGTATTGATGAATAAAATTACTAATCTTACAAAAAAATTTTACTGGCAAGATAGTTGACAAATATACCGACCATGCGGGTAGATTTGTTCATGACTTTGCTTTGGCATATGGTCTGACACAACTGATTACCTCGCCTACGCGGATCGTTTCCTTTATTTTTTTCAACGATTTTCTTCACCGAAGTTCACAAGGTAAATCAGTACTTACAATCGCAATTAAAATTTTTTTTGATGGTGTCGGATATCTAACCCGTGATTTTTGCGTACAGTAAAACTTACCGGTGAGCGCTTAGCCTCAGAGATGCAGCTTTATATGCAACAGTTTTCTTGTAATTAGTATTTTCTGGATAACACACTTCAACATTGTACAACTTTATTTCAAGTTACGACTACAATATTATGTGCAGCGCGGCACTAATTGCTCTGCAGTAAACTCATAAATGACAGGAAGCCTGTGCACAGCAATTAAATGTATATAAGCTTTAATTTAATTTTTTTATTGAAATTTTACATGTTTTACACGCTTTATTCAACGGATACTGAGTTCGGAAGATTTGTTATTGATGATTCCTTGTTACATCTCGTATAAAATTAATCCATATGATATAATTTGGGCTTTTTAATAATGTAAAAGTAAACGAAATTTACAGCCTTTAGGTTATTTTGAGGATGGAAGATTTGATGACATTTCCGGTGATAGAAAGTTAGTTTTTATGTGTGACATTTATAAATGGGTCGCTTTTCGCTTGAACAAAGTTGAGAAATTTTAAAAACTTATTTCTGTGTGGGTGAGTCTTCTTCTCAAACTTTAAGTAAATCAAAAAAAAAAAAAATTACATAACAAATGTGCCAGCCACAGTTTGTGGATCAATTTGCGAGTTTGTGAAACAGGATCGTTGTTGGATGAAAACAACCCGTGTACGTACTCGTCCAGTGCCCTCAACTAAAAACTCGATGCTGTTGCTCAATGTGAGCGTGAACAAACATTAACATCACCTCGTCATCCTTCACAAAATTTGAACAATCCACGCACTTCTTTGAGAAGAATTTTGCGTAAAGATCTCGGTATAAATGCATTCAAAGTTTAATTAGTGCAACAGCTGGAGCCGCATGATCATCCGATGCGTTTTGCGGTTTGCTCAATGGACCGAAGACCGCTTGATCGAAGATGAAAATTTTTACTGAAAAGTTATCTTTTCAGATGAAGCTCATTTCCACCTCAGAGGATAAATCATATATTATCATACCAAGGGCTCAGAAAATCCACACGTTATCGTGGATAAACCAATGCATCCACAACGATTGACTGTCTGATGCGGATTTTGGTCTTTGAGCATTATTAGGCCATTTTCTTCGAAAATGAGCAAGGAAACGCTGTTACAGTGAATGGCGACCGCTACCACGCCAAGATAAGCGATTGTTTGTTTACTAAAATTGAAGAGGATGACAAAGATGGCATTTGGTTACAACAGGACGGCGCAACGTGCCAAACAGCCAGCGTAACAATCGATCTTTTGAGCACTGTTTTCGAAAATCGCATTATCAGCCGAAATGCTGATGTCAATATGGCCACCTCGAAGCTGAGATTTGACTTCGTTGGACTTTTTTTTGTTACCGTTAAGGACAAGTGTTACGCTAACCATCCAGAGACGATTGACGACTTGAAACATAAAATCAAAGTTACCATGAAAAAAAGTTACCCAAACAATGAAAAATGTACTAAAAAATTGGACTGATCGAATGCCGTATTGTAAGGCTAGCTAGCTAGCGTGGCATTCATTTGAATGATGTTGTCTTTCATTCCTAAATGGCAAAGTTCTCTTTCTAATAAGCTCATAACTTTGATAAAATATTCACTAGATTTTTTTAAAGCTGATTCAAATTTCAACTTTTAAATGGCCCACCCCTTACGTCCCACTGGTGGGCATAGGCCTGCTCTGATCTTTGAGAGGGTTTTAGAGCAAGGAAATGTTCGCCGCGCCCTAATGCGTCTTATCGAACTATTTGAAATATTTATTTCTTTGTTTCTCGGACATGTAGGTTTCTTAACGATATTTTCCTTCACCGCCGAGCCCGTGGTAAACTCTTAAAATTGCATTTAATAATGTACTGACTATTAATATTAATTTTATAATATCTCTTTACAGATGTTAAGCTGCTGGCTTCTTTCATCGTATAGACGATAATTAAATGACAACTGGCTGAGTAAAGTTCGGTCACATCACGATTACTAATTACTAAGCGTGTATGGGTGGCATTACTACAAAAATTTCTGGCGTATTGATACGGTTCTTAATGATATCCTACCAAAACAAGCCTAACACCTTAAAGTTAAACAGTGTGGCCAGAGAGTCTAGTCGATACTCCGCTAGGGATCCACGATTAAGACATTAATTTTGTATGAAACATAATTCAACTGCCAGTATTACATTATACAATAATAATTAGTCGAGTGAGAATGGAAAAAGATTTGAATGAGTCTAATATCGTTTTAAGAAATACAAGAACTCCACGAGATAAAGGTAGAGCTGGCGATGTGAGAGAATCCCTTTTATCAGATTCTACGTCAGGTATTTGTAACGACGAAGACGAAAACACATGTAGTGATGACACTGCGTCATTTTCAAGTGTGGATATAGAAATTAGTAATAAAGAAGGGCTGTTAGCTTTTGGCAAGAAAAAAAGCATCAAAGGTAGTGAACATCCTGTTAGTGGAAGCAAAACATTAAATGATATTGATATTAAAACAACGCTACATACTGTTACTGAAGAGAGAAAAAAATGTGACGTTAACGCCATAACTATTGATACCACGCCTAGTATACCCGATGGTGGTTGGGGATGGGTGGTTGTAATGTCATCATTTATTATTTCTATGATTGCAGATGGGATTAGCTTTTCATTTGGCTTATTGTACATTGAATTTCTGGACGAGTTTAAATCCAGCAAATCAACGACTGCTTGGATTGGTAGTCTTTTTATTGCTGTACCACTTCTATCAGGTCCTGTAATGAGTGCTTTGGTTGATAAATATGGCTGTCGTAGTATGACAATTTTGGGTGGAATAATATCTACTGTTGGATTTATCTTAGCCTCAATTTCTACAACAATTGAAATGATGATGATTACGTTTGGAGTTATTGCTGGAATGGGTCTTGGATTAGTTTATGTCACAGCCGTCGTTTCTATTGCGTACTGGTTTGAAAAGAAAAGAAACCTAGCTGTAGGCTTAGGAGCCTGCGGTACAGGTGTAGGGACATTTGTGTATGCACCGATGACGCAATATTTAATAGAAGAATATGGATGGAGAGGAACAATTCTTTTATTATCAGGAACACTTCTTAATTTATGCGTATGTGGTAGTGTTATGAGAGATCCTGATTGGTGGATACAAGAACAAAAGAAACAGCGTAATGAAGAAAAGTCTTGTAACAGTGGAGAAGATATTCAATCCAAAAACTCCAGCTATACTTCCTTAGTAAATCCCTATGTATTTGATGCACCGTCTAGGGGTAAGGGTATGAGTCGATTAATAATAAAAGGCGTGCCTCCAGAAAAGGTAATAAGAGATGAAGTGGCAGCTATTAAACGATACGAAAACATCTCAAAGTACACTCAAAGAACCACCAAAAGATCAAGATCTTTAGAAAATTTGCCTACTTATCTGACGTATGATGATAAGGTAAGATGAGTTTAAACAGTGCCAATTTATTAAAACAAATAAAAGAAATCAAATAAAACATACACTGACATAATTACGTTCAAACATTGCTATTTAATGATTTGCCTGCCAAGCGTGACGATGCACCTATTTCTGACGCCAAATAGCAGTGCAAGCAATGAGAAATTGTAGGGGGGAGGGTTCCTAATCAGACGAATACCAAGGCAGAGAAGGAGTCCTATCACGTAGTACAAAAAATAAGACTTGTATGACATAATTCTGAGTATGCATACTAACTTGAAGCTTTTTATATTTTAGGTGTCGATGAAGATGCTAGATACCTTAATTAAAACAATTAGCAAGCAAAATAATATTGAGGTAAAATATCCGTTATTTACAAAGAATAATACATACACAAAGGAAAACAAGGAATCAATAATAACAGTAGACTTTGATGAAGCCAATGATCCACCAGCCGTAGCTTATACAATGCAATTTCTCCATCGTACCCATTCTGAAAAATACGATAATAACAAAGAAAAAGACTTCAAAAAGTATCAACTTAAGAACAGTAAGCAGAATGAAATGGTGAAGTTTATGAATCCTAAAACAAAAACTAATAAACCAATTTTAAAGCAAAATAGTAAAGAAAGTCGACGCGAATGGTTTAGGAAGCAGTTTTCAGTGAATCATCATTACTTGAAAGACTTGAAAATGCCTATCAATTCAATAAGTCACAGAAACGCTATGCTAAATATAAAAAAATACAGATTGAAAGCGTCATCCTGTCCGGATATATTTAAAAATTCAATGATAACAATAAACGAAAAGGAAGAAGTAAGTATGTGCATAATAATAATATATCGCTGGTAAAATTTAATAGGGCAATTTTTAAGAGGATAATCTAGTCTGTAAGATCTTTGAAGAATAAGTTTTAAACGATCTATTACGGTCGCGCTGTACTCGAACGAGCAAGCTAGACAATCGAGAGAGATGAGTGCAATTCGAAACGATTATACCAATGAAAAATTGATGAAATCATTCCCAGTATTCCCCTGTCTCCTTCTCCAAAACTAGACTAATTTTAAGAGTTGTGATTATATTTGTATATTTTTCTCTTATTTTTATGTTCGGTAAATTTGTTTTCTTGGTGTTTGATAATGGCGGTGTACTTCTAATAAGTAATTTTAACAGTTTTCTAGTTTTGAAATATTTTAATTATAAAAAATGAAACATGGCAGCGATAGTTAAATATCATTTCATAAAAATATTTGCTGTAATATTGTTATCTGGGAAGAAAACAGAGAAATACGTTTGTATGGGTGTAATGCCTTTATCCTCCTCTAAGATTTTATCCTCTTTAGAGGACTATCTGTTTCATACCGCTCGCTCTACCTCCTTACTCGTGCAATATAGAAAGTTGTAAGTCTTGAAGGCAATTGCCTACATTTCCTTAGTGAAATATTGTTTTGGGCGATAACGTTTTCACACCCCTCTAAACATTTATGAAATGAGAAAATTTTAATCTCATTATATTCAGCAGACCTTAATCTAGTTCTGAAGGTTTTTATTTTTCAGTGATTCAATTTAGTTTAATTTGAAAAAAACTCGAGGAAGTTTTTAAGTCAAAAATGTAGATATTTAGATGCTAATAACGTATATCATACGCCATATTTCTTAAAAATAAAAACGTACGGACCTAGTTTTTCGTTATATCTAAAACATTTTCAAAAATTATGGAACTATAATAACTAACTAATATATATCATATATAAGACTATGTTTACGGGGGAAAATGTTTTCGCTTTAAGTATGAAAATTTTCAGTTTCACACTCCTCCTAAGATAAACAATCTTGAATATTTTTCATTGATGTGCGACGTCAATCACTTTTTTTGAAGGAAATTTTAACTTTTTATTTCGTTTTAAATTATTTATTTTCTTGTGTCGTTAAGTAGTGACATGGATCCAATCGTAATAATTAAAATTTAAAAAAGTAAATCACTCCCAATGAATTTTGGCAGATTTTGGAGTTCGGACGTACTGGATAATATTATGCAGTTTTCCTCATAATATTTTATTTTACGTGATAAATCAGCACTTACGTAGGCGGTCCCATAATGAATTGGCTTAACTATGAACCAATGAAGGAAATGAAACGAAACCAATTTTATTTTTCAATATAATCACCATGAATACTAACACACTTCTGACATCTGTGAATCAACATCTCTAAACCTTTATAAAAATAATTACATTTTTTATCCTCAAAATGACTGAAGACGGCCGCCTGCAACTCTTCATCGCTTGAAAATTTTCTTCCTTTTAAGTCCCGCTTTAAATTTGGAAATAAATAATAGTCGGACGGGGCCATGTCTGGACTGTAAGGTAGATGTTGAACTTCTGTGAACCCGCATTGACGAACTGCATTCTTCGAAACACCAGCGGTATGAACAGGGGCGTTGTCATGGAGCAACAGGACACCTTTAGACAGCTAGCCTCTTCGTTTTTCCTTTATCTTGTCTAGTAATTTATATATTAAAGAAGCATAATATTTGCCGTTCACGACTGTATTACGTTCTTTAAAATCCACCATCAAAATGCCTTGAAAATCCCAAAATATTGTGCACATCAGTTCTTTAGTCGATTGTTGCACCTTTGCCTTTCTAGGGGGCTTTTCACCCTTATAACGCCATTCCATTGACTTGCGCTTGCTTTGTGGATCATAATACAAGATCATAGTTTCATCACCAGTCACTAGCCGCTCGATCACAGTCTTTGGATTTTCGCCACAAAGATCCAAAAACTCCGAAGCGCAGCGCACTCTTTCCTGTCTCTGTACCGCTGAAAGAAGTTTCGGTACCCATCTTGCACTCACTTTTTTCATGTGAAGATGTTCATGGATCGCGCGATGAACGGTACTCTTAGAGAGCCCAAGCCTTGCTGCAATTTCTCTAATCTTCCAACGGCGGTCACTCAGAACCTCCTCTTCGATAAGAGCAATCGTTTCGGGAGTGAGCACTTCCACATGTCGACCGTCGTGGCCAAAGTCTTCAACGGTTTCTCTCCCGAGGCAAAACTCTTTCACCCAATTTTTCACTGTGGTATAGGAGGGGGCAGACTCCTTATACACGCCATCCAACCGTTCTTTTATTTGGGCAGGGGATAAGCCTTCTTTAAACAGAAACTTTATGACACTTCGATGCTCAGTTTTCGACATTTTGAAAAAATACGCGACTCTCGTTATTCAAATGCCTGTTAAACTAAGACTAAGCATTTCATGTCGATGCATGTTTCTTATATTAAGTGCACGATATACGTACTATTTAATGCAACACAACATGTAGCGACATGTCGCGTTGAACTATATCAGGCCAGTTCATTATGGGACCGCCTGGTAAATTGCAATTAACGACTTAATTGGTGCCTGTGGGGATTGAATCCGGATTGCTCGAGTACAGTGGAATTTACTCCAAGGTATTAGTCCCCTGAGATGCTGTGAAACTCCATAGACCGACTATGTTAAATTCAATAAAGATTTACATACAATTTCAGTACATCCTACCTACATCTATTTGTGGATCCTAAAGATAAGAAGAAGTGTACTAGTTTAATATTTTTTCAGTATTCCCAAATTATTCAAACTTATTAAGTAACAATTATCATTCGTTGGTTTTCAGAAATGGTATGACGGCTGTTTAAGTTGCCTGGCCGACATGTTCAATATTTCATTGTTCAAGAAAATAACCTTCAACCTGTTGTGCTCGGGTACCATTATTCTTTTCATCTGGTTTATAGTCCCCTACTTCTATTTGGCTGAGCATATGATACAAAAGGGATACACTGAAGACGATGGTGCAGTTATGTTGAGTCTTATTGGAATTACCAACACGATTGGCATGGTTAGTATTAATGGAATAGGAATTTTTTGTACAAGTTACATGAATATTTTTAATAATTATTTGCACTGAGTATACTACTACTCTACTAATTTTTAAATGTAGAAAAAAGTTACAAAACAACTAATTTTTCAATTAGGAACTACCATTTAAATAAAGTAACAAGAAAAATTTACTCATTTAATTTAGGAAAACATGTAATAATAGACGCATTGGATGATGTGAAATTGTATAAAAATATAATTGAATTTTAAAATCACCTTCATGCAATTACCCTCAAAATCTTGAAATTCAATCACTTCATTAAAATGTAGGTATGTTTAATAATTCTACTACATTATAATTTAAAAAATACGATTGCAATAACAATGCCTTTTAGAACTTAAAATCAAAGTAGTAATAATAAAAAATAAAAAGAAATTATTTAAAATATGTATATAACTTTAACCAAGTAGACATTAGTTTCTTTACAATATGAAATTTAATTTATATAAAACAATAAAAATACCATGAGATATTTGTAAATAGATAATCTCGAGGTTTCCAGAAATAGAGAATACAAATACAAGGTGACAAACTACGTATCGTGCCAAATTCTTGCTGAATGCCGTTGATTCTCTAAAAGTGGAAAGCAAAATGATTTATTTATTTTTCGATGTCACCAATAGTCCAGGTTACTTAGAATATATTTATCACATTTTAAATATTATGACAAGTTAGTATTATACGCCAAATAATAACAACACATTTTAAATTTGTAGGTGCTAACATTTGTGTGAAAACTGAATACCCAAATTGTTGTTTTTCTGGTATGGTTGACTGCCCCAAGTCTAGACGTTATCGATTTTATCATAAAGAAAATACCATAAATGGGTTGGTTACTGTGTTGTTGCATAAACTTGTAGGTACTATGTGACCCTATTTGTTTAAACTTCGGAAAATGTCGCCATCAGAAGGAGGGCGTTATCATTATTATCATCATAATAGTCTATCATTATAATAATATCGTGCTGAACTAAGTTCCCACAAACATCACAAATATCACGTGGCAACCCTTTACTAGATAAAATTACGACTTAACGACAAACTTACAGGAAGTTGGTGGGCACGATAATGTATAACAATGAACAACTACGAGAAAAAAGCAAAAAAACATCTATCGGCAGTAAACATTATAATTTCTTGCCCAAATTCATTAATTGAAATGAAACTAAGCAAATATTGTTTTTACAGGTGGGTCTTGGATATATTGGAGACTTTCCTAACGTCTCAATTGCAAATCTATATGCAGTCTGTCTTATTCTTTGTGGAGCTTCGGTGGCAGCGATTCCCTCAGCTACTTCTAATTACTGGATTTTAGCTTCTACATCTTCAGCTTTTGGGTTGTTATTTGCAGCATCTTTTACCTTTACACCGAGTCTGTTAGTGAAGATAGTATCTCTGGACGACTTTACTTCAGCATACGGACTGGTGTTACTGGCACAAGGTATCGGACATTTAATTGGGCCACCACTATCTGGTAAGGAAAATTGATAATATAATATTATACAAGGATATATATCCTTCCACCTTTACAATTCCTGTCTGTTTAGAATATCTTATGGAAACGTTTTCATTTTCATTTATAGAAATGCTTCCTAAGTGTTTAGTACTTAATTGCAGTACCAAGACATAACATATTTTGGTTGGCAATTTATGAGATTACTTTTCGGGATTTTAATAAATCCAATTCTAGACATCAAGTATACTCACGGAATGAAATACGGTCAATGATTATCTCATGTCATTATCACCTGTTATAATATCCATGGGCATGGACATCATAATTATAATGTATTACTTTTTATTATATATATATATATATATATATCTTTTCTTTTGTTCATGTTCAAGACTTGGTGTTAAAGATGTGTTATATGTACAATATGTATATTTATCTTTTTATCTTTTCAGGTCTTATTTATGACTTGACTTTCTCATGGGAGCTTGCCTTCTTCTTAGCCGGTGGCTGGATTGTTGTATCTGGAGTTCTTATCTCTTTCATTCAACCTGTAAAAGATTATCAACAAAGGCGTGAAAATATGATAAAGCGTAGCGATTCTGGTATTGTGTAAATTCTATTTCTATACGCCTCTGCGTAGTTTTTTTGCGAGGTTTTAGCACTTTTGTCGTATCAAATATAATAATGGTAAAATCTACGAGAACACAATAGGAGGGGCGTCCAGATTTAGATTTAATGATGCTTGATACAGGTAAATGCAAATATATTAATAGTTGCTTTGCAACCATCCGCTCAATTAAATAAAATGATGTGTCTTACCTGGTTTGAAGAGCACCAACACCACTATTCCAGGAAAGACACACCATCGACGATAATACGACACATGTTTTGCCTCTAAACGAGGCATCTTCAGGTGATGTAGACTCTACGGCGGCTGACCGCTGAAAATCTCAGGTCAGGTCAGTCTCTAGGTAAGACACATCATTTTATTTAATTGAGCGGATGGTTGCAAAGTAACCATTAATATCTTTACTATAATATATTTCTGCAAAGAACCGCCTGATTCTATCAATTAACAGGTAAATGTGACAATATCTATCAAAAAGAAAAAGGAGGCCGGTGCTGAATTAAAATAGACGATCGCTAACAGTATCTGTACCGTCGTTGATCAGGGAATAAGCATTTGCCTTAAAATACGTAGGTAATTATAGCATACTAGGAAAACGAGCTAGATCCTCGACAGCACCAATGACATAGTTAATTGCAATAATAAATGTTGATTTACAGCGCTTGTCCGAGAACATAAAATATTTTAATGGATATTTCAAGTCTGTTAACACTCATTGGAAGTGGAGTGGACTCTATTTAGTTCTGAAATCCTCTCAAGAATGAAAGGAGGCCTGTGGCCAGTTGTGGCATGTATATGGGATGTAATTTTTTTCCACTTCTCCATTAGCCCTCTTCCGTTATAGGGACTATTTAGGCTATTTCGCTATCCATCCGAAACCATAAAAAATTTCTGGCATTCCCCATAGTCACCTTAATACGATATCCGCGGGACATAATTCGGTGATAGGTTCTCTAACGCCGCCACCATTCGACACTTTGCTATAACCACTATTTAATATATTTCTGTATTAAATAGGGTTATAGTCACTTATTTTATTACTAACCTCTTCTTCTTCATCAATTACTGGTCAATATTCCATAGCTGGACTCGAGCCCTTTCTATAATTCATCTTCTTTGACCATAACCGCCGCGCCGCCAGAATTCGCCATTTTGGAATAACCATTCCGCACTATACTCGCACTATATCTGATTATAATCAGACCAAATGCTTAATGTTTAAAGTTGCAGACTGCAAACTCGGAAAGACGCGTGGATTCGAATTCTCCATACGTGGAATACTGGAGTGGTGAATAGGTGGTAGGAATGTTTTAAACCACTCCTACTAGTATTCCACTTAACTAGCATTTATTAAGAAAAACCACCCAAAACCACCCTAAAAACCACCCTTATTAAGAAAAACTGTCTACGCTTTAATAATGACTACACATTACAGGGGTTTTAAGTGTAGGCATGTACGTGTTGTAAACCTGAAAATAAACTATAAGCATAAAATTAAGGTAAATAATTGTATGTCAATTGTTTGATCCTTTATGCACAATAGCATTTTTCTATGATATATTGTTATTGTATTATTAAATGGAATGTTCATTAAACAACTGTTGTAGTAAATTTATAAAGTGCTATATTTAATCAATAATATTTTGAAAAATATTAACGCCATTGTAAGAAAAAAAAGTAAAAATATAATCAACAAATGTTTTTTTAATTTCTTTCTTCTACTTCTATATCACCCCATAAAAGTTCACTCTTGGATATGGATGCGGTAAGTCTGGATGCGGTAAGTATGATACAAGAATTAACAATAATGAAGTATATAACTATATAGGCTGAAGCGCGAATAGATCGGCTCTACCGTGAAAGGACCACGCCCTCAAAGAATTCCAGTGTAAAATAGCAAGTTAACGCTGCTGCGTTTCGTATAATGAATGTAGAGAACCAGAGACAATTTTTGCTGGAAACGAGGTATTCCATCGTAGTCCTCAGGGGTGCCAACGAATCTGCATTCTGATTCTTAATCGAGGATAAATGTTGATATCTATGAGTCAGAGCATCCATTTACTATCAGGTGGACTGTTAGCTTGTTTGTCACCCTTATTGTACATAAAATAATGCTTAATTTACGAAAAAAATAGTGTTACGAGCTTAGGGTTCGTGACAATAAAAACTGCCGATTGAATTACCAAAATTAACACTTTTATTACCGAACACCAATTAAAACTTAAAAGACACTAATAATTAATCATACTGATTCACTTTATTTCGCTCGGAAGCTTCGCTTGTCTTGCCAAATTCAATACGGCCCCGATCGCGGCATGCAGCGGGTTTAAATACACTTTTACGCCGAAACATCCAGAATATTCACGGGCGCCGACCGACCAGACGCAGAAAGTTGGAGTGTGAGGCTTCTAGAAAGCTTAGTTCTTCAATTCGATACTAAATGGCGCTGTTGGTTAAAATATTAGTTATGCCATTTTCTGGAAAGCTCTCCTCGCTCTGTTACCCGACACTAGATGGCGCTAGTGCTAGACGTCAACTTAGGCGCGCAACACTGCCCCCTCCTAAGACAAGCTCGTCCCGAGCATTATCGGACCCATAATAACGCGCCATGCGATCTACATGGACGATCTTAGGAGTCCCTCTTGCGCCTTTCTGTATCCGGTAGGTTACATCGTTTATCCTGGTCACAATCCGGTACGGGCCATCCCATTTAGCTTGAAGCTTAGGAGATTTCCCTTTGCTGCGGACTGGATTGTGCAACCACACTAGTGAACCTTCGTCGAACCCTTTGTTGTTCATTTTGCGGTCATACCGGGTTTTCATCTTTTCAGACATTTGCTACATACATATGCAATAGACTTGCGGAACAAAATGAATGACATAAATGTCATTCATTTTGTTCCGCAAGTCTATTGCATAATCGGTAATACTGCGTGGGGCATCAGGTGGTATCCCGGTGATCAGGTCTGCAGGCACCCGTAATTCTCTTCCAAAGTTTGCGAAAGCTGGTGTCACTGCTGTACTTTCGTGAACAGCGCTTCGATATGACAACAAAAACGGTTGTATGTGCTTGTCCCAATCTCGTTGCCGATTGTCTACAACTTTTGCTAGGTATCTCTCCAATGTCTGATTAAATCGTTCCACCATTCCATCAGATTGCGGGTGATAAGAAGTCGTTCTTGTTTTATGAGTACCCATAACTCGGCAAGTTTCCTGGAATATTTGAGACTCAAAATTCCTTCCTTGATCGCTGTGAATCTCTAAAGGTACTCCAAAACGACAGAAGACTTCATGAACTAGTTTATCCGCAACTGTTGAAGCTTCTTGATTTGGAATGGCGAAAACTTCTGGCCACTTAGTGAAGTGATCCATCACAACCATGAAATACTTGTTACCGCTTTCACTCTCCGGAAACGGCCCCACTACGTCAATGGCTATTCTCTCCCATGGTGCCCCAACATTGTACAACTTCAATGCACCTCTACTACGAGTCAGAGGTCCCTTTATAGCCGCACAACTTGTACATTTGCGACACCAGTCCTCGACATCGTTTCGACAGTGGGCCCAGTAAAACCGTTCTCGGATCTTCAGTAGAGTTCGTTTAACTCCCAGATGGACTCCTGAACAATCATTCTGGTACAGCAGTAGAACATCCGGTACTTTAGCTTTAGGGACAACCATTTGCAAATGACAGCTGCCTCCCCGAACATTTTCCCATTTACGGCATAGAACTCCATCCTGAAGCAGCAAGCAATCCACCTCGCAACTAGTCCTTCTGGATTTTTAAACTGCAATAGCCATTTTAGTGCAGCATGGTCAGTTCTTAAGTGAAATTTTCGCCCCAGAAGATATTTGCTAAAATGCTGCAACGACTTTACCACAGCTACCAATTCGCGTCTTGTGACACAATAGTTCCTTTCCGGTTTTGACAACGACTTGCTGAAGTACGCTATCACGACCTCTTGGTCACCGTTCCGTTGAGATAACACACCGCCAAGTCCTATATCACTTGCGTCTGTGTCAACTATAAATTCTTTGCTTGCATCAGGGTATCCCAAAATAGGTGTTTTGCACAGACGGTCCTTGAGCTCCTGGAATGCGATATTGCGACTTTCATCCCAGCAGAAATGTCGCTTCTCCACGGTAATAGGAGCACAAACCCAAAAATGCTCTAACCTGCGTCTTGTCTTTTGAAACCGGCCAATCCTTGACAGCGGCGATTTTCTCTGGATCCGTGCGGATACCTTCTTCCGATACTACATACCCCAAAAAGTTAACTTGCCGTTTGAATAGTGAACATTTCTTCGGACTCAACTTGAGGTTGGCACTCTGAATCTTCATGAGCACACGTTCTAGGTTTGGAAGGTGTTCTTCAAACGTACGGGCCACGATGATGATGTCATCCAAGTAGACCAGACAGGCATCGCCAATTAGCCCGGTAAGTACAAGCTCCATCAGCCTTTCAAACGTTGCTGGAGCATTGCACAATCCAAACGGCATTACTTTAAATTGCCACAGACCCTTTCCTGTCGAGAACGCAGTTTTCTCTTTGTCCTTAGGGTCGATTTCAACTTGCCAGTAGCCACTTTTTAGATCCAGCGTGCTAAACCACTTTACTCCTGTAAGCATGTCCAGCGTGTCATCAATTCTTGGCAAGGGATAGCTGTCATTCTTTGTAACGTCGTTCAGACGGTGGTAGTCAACACAGAACCGCATGCTGCCGTCCTTCTTCTTTACCAGCATCACGGGTGAACACCATGGACTAGACGAAGGTCCAATAACACCATACTTCACCATTGCTTCAATCATGGTTTTCACTTCCTTTTCACGTGCTACCGGCAATCCTCTTGGCCGCTGACGGATAGGCAATTCTTCTCCTGTGTTTATTTTGTGTTTAACTAAGGCAGTCTTTCCTATGTCAGCATCGTTTAATGAGTTATCGGCGTACTTGAGTAACAACTTCTTCGCCTTGACCATTTCGTTCG